ATAATAATCGATATGTATGTTCGTATTACCATTTTCTTAATTGTTTTGGGTTTGTTTTTGTAGGCCCTTTTCTTCTCTTGTGTTTCCCACTTAGAGAAGTTCCTTTAGCATTTGTTGTAGAGCTGGTTTGTTGGTGCTGAATTCTCTTAGCTTTTGCTTGTCTGTAAAGCTTTTGATTTCTCCATCGAATCTGAATGAGATCCTTGCCCGCCAGAGTAATCTTGGTTGTAGGTCCTTCCCTTTCATCACTTTAAGTATATCATGCCACTCCCTTCTGGCTTGCAGAGTTTCTGCTGAGAAATCAGCTGTTAACCTTATGCGAGTTCCCTTGTATGTTATTTTTCGTTTTTCCCTTGCTGCTTTCAATAATTTTTGTCTTTTAATTTTTGCTAATTTGATTACTATGTGTCTCAGCGTGTTTCCTCCTTGGTTTTATCCTGTCTGGGACCCACTGTGCTTCCTGGACTTGGGTGGCTATTTCCTTTCCCATGTTAGGGAAGTTTTCAACTATAATCTCTTCAGATATTTTCTCTGGTCCTTTCTGTCTCTCTTCTCCTTCTAGGACTCGTATAATGCGAATGTTGTTGCGTTTAATGTTGTCCCAGAGGTCTCTTAGGCTGCCTTCATTTCTTTTCATTCTTTTTTCTTTATTCTGTTCCACAGCAGTGAATTCCACCATTCTGTCTTCCAGGTCACTTATGCATTCTTCTGCCTCAGTTATTCTGCTATTGATTCCTTCTAGTGTATTTTTCATTTCAGTTACTGTATTGCTCATCTCTGTTTGTTTGTTCTTTAATTCTTCTAGACCTTTGTTAAACATTTCTTGCATCTTCTTAATCTTTGCCTCCATTCTTTTTCTGAGGTCCTGGATCATCTTCACTATCATTATTCTGAATTCTTTTTCTGGAAGGTTGCCTATCTCCACTTCATTTAGTTGTTTTTCTGGGGTCTTATCTTGTTCCTTCATCTGGTACATAGCCCTCTGCCTTTTCATCTTGTCTGTCTTTCTGTGAATGTGGTTTTTGTTCCACAGGCTACAGGATTGTAGTTCTTCTTGCTTCTGCTGTCTGCCCTCTGGTGGATGAGGCTATCTAAGAGGCTTGTGGAAGTTTCCTGATGGGAGAGACTGGTGGTGGGTAGAGCTGACTGTTGCTCTGGTGGGCAGAGCTCAGTAAAACTTTAATCCACTTGACTGTTGATGGGTGGGGCTGGGTTCCCTCCCTGTTCGTTGTTTGGCCTGAGGCAACCCAACACTGGAGCCTACCTGGGCTCTTTGGTGGGGCTAATGACAGACTCTGGGAGGGCTCTTGCCAAGGAGTACTTCCCAGAACTTCTGCTGCCAGTGTCCTTATCCCCACGGTGAGCCACAGCCACCCCCCTGCCTCTTCATGAGACCCTCCAACACTAGCAGGTAGGTCTGGTTCAGTCTCCCCTGGGGTCACTGCTCCTTCCCCTGGGTCCCGATGCGCACACTGCTTTGTGTGTGCCCTCCAAGAGTGGAGTCTCTGTTTCCCCCAGTCCTGTTGAAGTCCTGCAATCAATTCCCACTAGGCTTCAAAGTCTGATTCTCTAGGAATTCCTCCTCCCGTTGCCGGACCCCCAGGTTGGGAAGCCTGACGTGGTGCTCAGAACCTTCACTCCAGTGGGTGGACTTCTGTGGTATACATGTTCTCCAGTCTGTGAGTCACCCACCCAGCAGTTATGGGATTTGATTTTACTGTGATTGTGCCCCTCCTACTGTCTCATCGTGGCTTCTCCTTTGTCTTTGGATGTGGGGTATCTGTTTTGGTGAGTTCCAGTGTCTTCCTGTCGATGATTGTCCAGCAGCTAGTCGTGATTCTGGTGTTCTCACAAGAGGGAGTGAGAGTACGTCCTTCTACTCTGCCATCTTGGTTCCTCCTCTATTTTATTTTTATTTTTATTTTTGGCTGTGTTGGGTGTTCGTTGCTGCGTGCAGGCTTTCTCTAGTTGCAGTGAGCGGGGGCTACTCTTTGTTGCGGTGCTCGGGCTTCTCATTGTGGTGGCTTCTCTTGTTGCAGAGCACAGGCTCTAGGCGCACAGGCTTCAGTAGCTGTGGCACATAGGCTCAGCAGTTGTCGCTCACGGGCTCTAGATTGCAGACTCAGTAGTTGTGGCACATGGGCTTAGTTGCTCCACAGCATGTGGGATCTTCCCTGACCAGGGATCGAACCCATGTCCCCTGCATTGGCAGGCAGATTCTTAACCATTGCAGGGAAGCCCCCCAAAATTGTTTTTTAAACTGTGAATTTATTTTGTTTGTAAAGAAGTAGACGGATTAAAAGAAAATAACTTAGTCTCCTATGCTATTTCTTACAAAACAAAATTCCAGGCTTTTTTTCTAGAGAATTTTTTGAGTAGGAAATGTCTGTAGACTGTTTTCTTTTTTAGCATATTGTGTAAGAACACATTATTTGCTCAAATAAAAATTCCTGTTGAAATGTCTTTAAAAACATCTTTGAATAATTGCATGATACCATTTTTATTAAGTAAGAACTTAAATGGACCCAAGTTGTTTTGGGTAAAACTCTTTCCGTCTCTTAAAGATGATACTATGGGAAGGAGTATAACTGGGGAAATGAGCTCAATTATCAGTGTTTTGCAGGGGAAAGGTTTTAGAGTGTTTTCTTCATAACACATAAGCTCTTTTGTGCCTTCTTATATCTTTTCATCACAGATTACTTAAATGTTATTTATTGTGATGTAGGTGAAGGGCTGTTCATCTCTAAAATGAATTGCCTATAGAATTTGGCTGAATATGAGTTCGCACAGTTTTAAGAACTTAAGTTTTACAGAACTTAAGTATGGCTTCAAGTTGAATGATTGGAAGATGGAAAATCTTTAACTCCTTTATTATATGGTCAATTTCAAATATATTCTATTAATTTTATTAATAAAACCAGAAAGCATGATTTGTGGAATAGATTTACGTTTTGTGAACTTATTGTGATGCTTTGATCTTATAGATTTTCACAATTTATCTTCGTCTTTCTTTTTTTGTAATTGCTTGTCTTTTGAAAACGTCTTCACAGAACTCTGACTTAAATTTGCAGAATCAAATTTCAGCTTCTGGTACTACTCTGAATGTATTGCCCTCTGAGCTCCCATACTTTTTCCTGTACTTTCTTTCTCCTTATCATCATTATAAACCAGTATATATTGAGTTCATTTAGAAAGGTGGGAAAATATACTAGTACTTTATGTACATTACGTTATTTAATCCTCAGAGTAACCCTTTGTGTGTCGTGTTATCTCTATTTTACAAATTAGAGAAAGTGATATTTAGGGAGATTTAGAAACTTGCCAAAGCTCAAAATAGATACTTGTGAAGTTTGGGTTTGAATCCAGTTCTGTTAGATTCTAAAACCTGTTTTCTTCCCACTAAGTTATTTGCTGTATATCTGTTTCATTGTTTTATATTATAATTGAAGTCTTGTGCTCATCTGGTTTCCTTACCAGATTATGACCTGCTGGAGGAGAAGGATCTTGTCTTATTCACATTTATATCTTCAGTGCCCATTACTGACCCCAGAACTTTTATAATGAGTATTGAATGAAAGACAGTGACGTCACTGATATGGTAGCAGTGAGGCATGTGCTATGAAGTAGTTTCTCTAGTATAGACAGTTTCTAGGTTTACTGTGTCAGATACCTCCTACCCTTTCCAAGTATTGCCATTTATAGTTATACACACCCTTGCATGCCCAAACACACACTCTTTCATCCTCATTAATCCTGTGAAAGTGAGAATTTTTGTCCTTCTTTTGTAGATCCAGAGAATCAAGATCTAGAAAAAATGAGACTTGCTTAAGGTCACACAACTAGTTAGTGGCAAATCTGGTATGCAAATCCAGGTTTTAGACTTACAGTCATCTGCTCCAGGCTGTCCATCTGTGCTAATGGAAACCTATATTTTATTTCCTAATATGTTTATTTGTTTATTGAGAAATGAAGGCAACAAAACACAGGTGTCCACAAATGGATTGTGTCTAAAAGGAGAGACCTTCTGTTGGAGTGATGAATGTATGCTCTTTGTTCTGTCTTTATAGTCTTTCACTTATTTTCCTGTATGAGGCCTAAAGTATGGCTAGAATTTTAGTCAAGAGATAAAATAGCTCCAGCTAACAAACCATAGGAAGATTGAACCCATGACCATGTCATATTCTAATCAGCTGAGTATAAGAGTAGCAGGACTCATGGCACATGCAGAGGACTCAGCATTGAGACTTTGAAGTGATATGCTTTTTGAGTAGAAAGATTTGCTTTACCAGCACCTGAAAGAATGATACCTGCACAGGTAATCTGGTGTTTTCGTGTAGAATAATTATGTCAGCACAATTTATATGTTGTAATACAGGTATTTAAAGTAAAAATTTACATCTTATACCTATACCTGTAATATGAATCATGCTATAAAGAGTACATTTAACTTACCTTAAACTTAAAAATTTTTCACCTTCTGTGCCCATATCTTTTTTTTTTTTCAGTAGAATTGTTTCCTAAATAAAATTGATCTTGGATCTGTGTGTCAGCATTTTTGACATGTTTGATAATATAATCATTTTTTAAAAGTAATGCTAAAAGGACTGAAAGATTGGTAAAATTTGTGTAGATAGTATGTATGGTATTCAATTTTGAATTAGAAAGACTTTAGACCTTATAGGTTATCAGTACTTGAAGGTGCTAGTATTTTATATCCTTCTGTGGACAAATTGCCTCCGAATTTTAATCTGGAAAATCACTGGGATAACTGTTTGGAAAAGGATTACAACAACATGACTTTTATATTTTTAATACTTCTACTACAGTTTCTGTACAAATTATTAAATCTTGATTATAAAAGACAAAATTAAGGTGTAAACACATTATTGAGATAGCATGTGGGGATTATTCCCATGTTGTTTCTGTATTCAGTTTCATTCAGCCACAGATGCAAAGCAGAAGTATGTAACATATCACTGGATTTTATTTTGTTTTATTAGCTCCTCAAGAGTTATTGATCTATGAAATGGCAGAGAATGGAAAAAATTGTGACCAGAGACGTGTAGCAATGAACAAGGAACAATATAATGGAAACTTCACAGGTGAAGTATGGTGGTTTGGAGGGAAAAGATCTATGGGTTTAAATGATATCTTTTTCATTGGAATAAATTAGAAATATATCTAATATTTATTATCTTTTGTTAACAAAATAATATCTTATATAATAATATAGGATACATAAAGTTCTTATAAATCTTGTAAAAGATTGATTATCTTTTGCTTCATCTTCATAGTAAATTAAATTATGGGTATATAAGGGCCTATGAGGGGATTTTTCACAGCGATAGCAGAAGCAGCCTGGCCATAGTCACATCAGCAGTGTTCTAGGTACAAGATTATTATTTTTTAATCTTGTGGTGTGGTAAATATTTATTTGGCTTTGTTTGGCACTTAGTTTTATCATGCTATTTTGTAACTTTAGAAGTAGATTATAAATTTACTTATTACTCTAATCCTAATTTTATAATTATCCAAAAAGTCAGAATGTGATTATTGTGGATTTATTTTTAAATTTTAGTTTGAAACAAATAAATTTATATTTTAACCAAACTAGGAATTTGTGGTGAATTTCAGTATATTTGACTCTTATTCACACATTTACCCTGAAAATTACAGCTATTATATAGATGATTTAAGTAGGAACTTTCCTTTTTGTGTTTAAAAGAAAATGAAAGGTTTTCCTTTTCTGTTAATTGTAATGGTTTTCTTTTTAACTTCTAAGTTGTTTGGCATCTCAAACACATTGCAAATAATACTTCAGCATGGTAATATTATATCATAGAAATTTTCTTCTATTAGTAGAATTGCAAGCTATTTAAAGTAGTAGTTTCCATTTGTTTGTTTTGATCACTGCATTGCCTTGCAGAACGTATTTTGCAGCACTTATTGACTTTTGGGTTACTTTGGTTGTCAATAAGTTTTGCATCGTTTCAACAGGAGTTTCAGGATTTGGAAATAGACATTGCATATATCGTAGTCTCATCCCATTAGGAGCTTTTGCATGTTATTTTTTCTTTCCTTTCTTTCAACAAGCACATACATTTATGTATTCTTCCACTACTGCCCACCCCTTTGGAATTTAAAATTAATGTTAGAATGACACACTTTCTATTCTGTACCATGGTGTGTGTTGTTTGGGGTTTTTTACTTAATATTTCCTAGAGGTTGTACATGAAGAACTTATTCTTTGTTATGGCTGCTTAGTATTTCATTGTACAAGTCTATCATATTTTAATAGCTCCTCTGTCCTCTGTTGGTAACATTTGTTTATAATATTTTGCTAGAACCAATAACACTGTATTGAATAAACTTGTACAAAAGTCATTTCTCCTTACAGCTAATCATTCTTAGAAATGAAATTATTAGGTGACAGGGTATATGCATTTATAATTTCGAGAGATGATGCTGAGAGAGTTACTCTTATTACGAATAATAACTAACCTTAATTGCACATATACATACATGTATTAACTCATTTAATCTTTACAAGACACTAAAAAGTAAGTACTATTTTTATCTTCATTTTAGAGAAGAGAAAACTGAGGCATAGAAAGGTTAATTAACTTACCCAGGATCACATGACTAGTAGATGGCAGTGCCAGGATTTGGAACCAAGTAGTTTGCATTCACGTTTTGAGCTCTAAACCACTTTGTTCTATGATATGGTGCTAAATTGCCCTTCATAGAAAGTGGGCTAATTTAGCATTCCAGTAATGTATAAGAAAAGAAATTTGTGTCCTGACAATAAAATAATTCCAAAAATAATGGTAAGAGTAGAACAGCAGGACATAGCCTAGACTTGTCACAATGTGAACCAGATTGTTTTTTGAGGTTTATATGCAGTCCTTCAGATGTGGGATGGGAAGGTAGGTGAATAATGAAAGTAACTGGAAAAAGTGAGCATCCTGTTTTAACTTCTACACTAATGTTTTTCAGATCCCCCTTCAGTGAATGAAAAGAAGAGGAGGGATCGGGAAGAAAGGCAAAATATTGTCCTGTGGAGACAGCCACTTGTTACCTTGCAGTATTTTTCTCTGGAAATCCTAGTAATCTTGAAGGAATGGACCTCAAGGTAAAGAGTCTTCCGTTTCCTTTTATATAAACCGTATTTACTAATTTTAGAAATCTTCAACAGTCTCCCTGCCACCTGCTTTATCAAAATGGGTTAATTAAATTTAGAATGTTATAGGAACATACTTATTTTCCTTTTTATGTGTAGTTTGAAGAAAAATAGATTAGGGAAACTTGTTGCTATTTGTTCACTGGATTGATACAGTTGACCTTTGTCTCATGTTGAATCTTTTATTCAGAGGAGAGCACTGAAAACAAGAAGTTTTTTCTTCTGGCTTTACCTTCAGGAGAAATCAGGCCTGTGTACATTAAATACACTGATTCTTTAGTAGGTCAAGGTTCAGGATACGTGGCACTACTGATAGTTTGAGCCAATAAAAAAGGACTCTGCCATGGAAATTGTGTTTGATCTTTAAATTTAGTGCTTGTAAGCCCTGTTTCTGATATCGTAAAGAGCAAGTTGAACTTTTACTTGCCTTAATCATTTTCTGGTTTACTTTTCCAAGCTATCTGTAATAATATCTTACCTTTTTATGTGCTCACAGTTTATAAAGCATTTTGTAACACTTTTTTTTTTTTTTTGCGGTACGCGGGCCTCTCACTGTTGTGGCCTCTCCCGTTGCGGAGCACAGGCTCCGGACGCGCAGGCTCAGCGGCCATGGCTCACGGGCCCAGCCGCTCCGCGGCATGTGGGATCTTCCCGGACTGGGGCACGAACCCGTGCCCCCTGCATCAGCAGGCAGACTCTCAACCACTGCGCCACCAGGGAAGCCCTGTAACACTTTTTAAATTCATTTGATCCTTATAGCAATTCCATGAAGAAGGTAAAATAAGTATATGATCATCATGATTTTAAAAACAAGAAAGAGAATCAGATTGGTTGAGTGTCTTACTCAAAGTACAGTACTTAAGAGACTCTGACCCAAGTCCTCTGACTAAAGGCCAGAGTGCCCTTTCCATTATATCATAATGCCTGTCCCAATTAGAAGTTGGGGTATGTATAAAAGATTAGTTTTGGGGTATGGGAAAGGCTATGATGGAATTTCTTTTTCTTTTTTTATAAAGTTGTTTATGTTTACTTATTTATTTCTTTATTTATGGCTGCACTGGGTCCTCGTTGCTGCGCAGGCTTTCTTTAGTTGCGGTGAGTGGCAGCCACTCTTCGCTGCCGTGCGTGGGCCTCTCATCGTGGTGGCTTCTCTTGTTGCGGAGCACGGGCTCTAGGCGCGGGGGCTTCAGTAGTTGTGGCACACGGGCTTAGTTGCTCTGTGGCATGTGGGATCCTTCTGAACCAGGGCTCGAACCCATGTTCCCCGCACTGGCAGGCGGATTCTTAACCAATTGTGCCACCAGGGAAGCCCCTACGATGGGGTTTCTAATAAGAAATTCGATTCTATACCCAAGTATCTGGTCTTGACCCCCTTCTGTACCCCCAAGAGACCATAGTGTTTAAGAACAAAAGAGCTCAATCCAGCAAGAACAACTTCTAAAGCTGAGCTAAGTAACCTAATTGCTTCAATAAGAAATGTTTTGAGAGTGATGAATCCTGAAACTGAGACTGTGACATATTTCATTTTTTTTAAATTTGTTTTTAAGATTATGGCATCGTCAAAGCGTTGTGGTGTCTTTTTTACTGCTGCTTGCTGTGCTTATAGCTACGTATTATGTTGAAGGAGCACATCAACAGGTAAGAGGTTCAGCACCTCTGTTTCTATTCTTGTACCTTCCCTAATCCCAGTTTCAAAATGGAGCTTTTGTGGATTTCATTGATTTTTTTTTAAAATGTATCTTATAACTGGTATCTTAATGTCTTACTTTTAAGGCCAAATATTAAAAATATTCTTGTGGTAGTTCATGGCTGCTCAGCATTTATACTGGATATATATCGTTCCTTTTTACCTTTAAGGATTTAAATGTGACTTTCCTAACGGTGTTTAGTCAAAGCAGCATGAATCCTTTAATCACTACCGAAGTCTTCATATTTTTTGTAACACACTCCTATGATCCATCCAAGCTGATATAGTCATCCTAGATTGAAGGTTAGGTTTTATATGTATATAGAGTGGGGGGAAGTTCACTTGCCTGTCATCTGTACAGCATAAATGAAGGGAAAATAGGACATTTTGTTAATAACTTTTGATAAAATTGCAAAACGTTAATGTATTCTATTAGGAAATAGTTCTAAAATGGTATCATTTCATATTTTAGAGCAGTTTACCTCTAAATACATCAAAATGCTGATGGTGATTATCTCTGGGGGTGTGGAGATTATGGGTAATTGTTTTTTATTTTACGCTTTTATGTTTTTCTAGTTGTCTGTAATAAACATATATTGCCTGTAAAATTAGAACAACAAATGGCATTAAAAATGGGGAGGGAAAAATTTAAAAATAAATAGATAAAAATAAAAATGGGGAGGAGCAGCAGTTTACCTCTAATCAGAGAAGTTTTTATACTTATAAATGCAGTAGTTGTGGCTCACGGGCTTAGTTGCTCCGCAGCAAGTGGGATCCTCCTGGACCAGGGCTCGAACCCGTGTCCCCTGCATTGGCAGGCAGATTCTTAACCACTGCGCCACCAGGGAAGTCCCTATCATGCTTTCTTAAACAAAATTTTTATAACTTTTAAGTATCTTTAAATTTTTTATTCTCATAGTTATCAATAATTTGCATTTTTTGTATAAATGTCATTGTAATTATAGGACTTTTAAAATGTAGAAATGAGCTTTAGTCCAGTTACATGATTTTTTTTGCCATCTCTGCTACCACATATTAGAGGAATTTGGACTCTTCAAGGAGCTTTTAATCTTAATACTTTCTTCCTATTGGAAACTTAGTTGGTTTGTTTTATTTTTATTATAGTTGATAAATACCATATTTCTGCTTAAGAATTCTGATTTTGTTTTCACCTCATTGCTTTTGTTTTTCAGTATGTGCAACGTATAGAGAAACAGTTTCTTTTGTATGCCTACTGGATAGGCTTAGGAATTTTGTCTTCTGTTGGGCTTGGAACAGGGCTGCACACCTTTCTGCTTTATCTGGTAAGAATAATTTTAATAAGCAAGATTGAAAGAGATTATGTTTTAATTGGTGCTTTTACTATAGAAGTTAAAACTCTAGGATTTTTACTTAATTACCTTTGTGTTTTATATGTATTCTAATCCTCAAGGCAGTGATTTGGAATTCTGTTTTGTTTTTCCTTTTGGGTTGAGAATTTAAAAAGAAAAGGGAGGAAGAACCCTTAGGCAAATGAGATTGTTTACTTATATTAATTCAGCCAGGAAATGTTTTTTCCTTCCAGATTTTGGAATAATGGTTCTCTTGCTTATGCAATTGTCTTTGTAATAGTTGAAGTTATTTAATTGTACAAAATTCCATGTAAGACTTAGAATTAATTTGGTCAGTTATTTTCTCTGTTAATCTGCAAATGAGAAATGGTATCTTCCCTCACGTCCTCAAACACCATGTACATACTGGATAGTTATTTTGGTAATCTTATTGAGTGCAGTTAAAGAAGTATTACATGTGTATAGGTAATGCTTTCTTAAACTTTTAAATCAAAGTATAAAATGTACCCCTCCTAAAAAATATTTTTTTTTACTTAGTTGAAATGAGAGAGATAAAAGATAGGTTTTCTTTGGGATATTTGCAAATATACTGAAATAATGGCAGGGCTAGGACTAGGAGGTGACAAGCAAGACATCTAGGGCACAGAATTTACATTGGCACTTTTAGGGTCATGTAACTGTGGGGTTGATGAGTGAATGCCTCATTAAATTTTGTGCCCTGGATGCCTCTCTTGTTTCACTCTATTCCTGTCTCTGAATAATATATTGAAAACAATTTCACATTTGAAAACAGCTTGATCTTGATGGAGAAAACAGGTGAAAAGTTGTCACAGCAGTACTGATTCTGAATATAGTTCAACAGTGCAAACACTTCCAATCTCTGTGCTTCCGTGAATTCATTTCTGAAGCAGGTATGATAAATATTAAGAAATGATTATTCAGAAGGCTGCTGAATTAATGGTCTGAAGAATAATTTAAGAATTAATCTATAAGGGGGCTTCCCTGGTGGCACAGTGGTTGGGAGTCCGCCTGCCGATGCGGGGGACGCGGGTTCGTGCCCCGGTCCGGGAGGATCCCACATGCCGCAGAGCGACGGGGCCGCTGGGCCTGCGTGTCTGGAGCCTGTGCTCCACAGCGGGAGGGGCCGCGGCAGTGGGAGGCCCGCGTACCAAAAAAAAAAAAAAAAAAAAAAAAAGAATTAATCTATAATACATAGCTTCTGTAAGTTTATGGGAGTTTAAAACATGGAATTTTAGAATTCCATTCATGATTGCTTGCTGATTTTATCCCAGATAGAAACATAAATCCTAGATAAGTAACCCATATCAGTGTTTCTTTAATAACTACATTCTAGAAGTATAATGCTATACTAGAGGTTGAGGCAGAGGGAAAAAAAGGAATTACAGGTTACAGGTTACCTTTCTGTTCTTTTCTAGACCTGTCCTCTTAGATTCCTTAGGAAAACCAGACTAAAGAACTCATTTGTAGCATTTGATTTATTTGGAAGTATTTGAAAAGCAACCCAGAGAACAGATTCTGCTGAATCTTAAAAGGAATTCTAATGAACCTTATAATTCCCATAATAAGTAAGAATAAAGAAATTTGAAACATGGAAGTTTCATGTTTCCTGTTTCTTTTTATATCCTTGAGAAACCCTTATAAAATGTGTTGATGTGAAAACATTATTATTTTAATTCCATTGATCTATGTATCCAGTAGAGGATTTAAAACATATAAATAAGAATTTATTATAAAATTCATTTGTGGGAAAAGTCAAGTCTTTGTTTCCATAAACTAAGTAGTTATTTCTGCCCTTGATCAGAGTGCAGGTTTAAGGGAATGTAGTTAGATTTTTCACAAGTTTAGAAAGAATTCTTCAAGAGCTATTTGAAGGAAAGTATCACTCTCTCATTATACTCAGGGCCATATGTATTATACTAGTTAAGCAAGTGTGGAGATAAAATCAAGGAACATGTGAAGCTGTGTTGCATTGTACATAAAAGCCATATAAAAACATTGTGGATTATCATTGCTAATAATAAACTGGGGTCCAGAGTGGATCAGGCCATGTGTTTCAGAATTAGGTTAATTTGATTTCTGTTTGTGAGTAGCATTTAGAATTATTTTAAATGCCCTAAAATTAAATAGAAGCAAAATAACCAGATTTGTGTTTTATGAATATATAATTCTGGCTATAGTGTGGGTGATAGATTGAAGGTAGAAGAGAAAATGGTCAGTTAATGGTAATCCTTCTGAGGACACAGGCTTCCATGGAGGTAGCAAGAAGTATGGAGAGGAAGAGGTATTTACTAAAAAAAGAATATGCAGAGAAACTAAGCAGAATGAAGGCAAAAGGTGGCATAAACCTTTAATATTTCAAGAGAGTGGTTGGAGTGGCAGTGGCACTGGATAAAACAGGGCAAATCTTAGGGAAATTTTATTTGTTTAGCGTGGAGGAAGAAGGAGCCAAAGATTAGTGTTGGTTTTTGACTTAAATGAGAAGATGTTGTTACCATTAACTGAATAGAAACCTGTCATGTGGTCACTTGTTCATTCAGTACATAGTGTAAGTTCTGAAAAGAGAAATTTAAATGGATTTGTAATTATGTTGCAAGGTAGATGAGATCTTCACCTGATCCCAGTGGGTTGCTGGTGCCAGTGGTTGGATGGAAAGGAAAGGGAAATTTGTAAAGGACTAAGAACACTTTCTTTTCCTTTCTCTTTTTAATTAATAGGCTTTATTTTTCAGACCAGTTTTAGGTTTATACAAAAATTGAGCAGAAAGGATAGAATTCCCATATACCTTTACACATACACAGACACGCACATGGAGCATTTCCCTATTTTTTTTTTTAACGTGAGGTATAATTGACATATAACATTGTATTTCAGCTGTACAACATAATGATAGTTTCCCCTATTATTAGTATTATTAATATATTTTTCACAAGTCTAATGATTAATTAGTGTTATTTCCCCTATTATCTCGCTTTACTGTGGTACATTTGTTACAACTGAGGAACCAATACTGATACATTACTAACTAAAGCCCATTGTTTACATTAGAGTTCACTCTGTGTTCTATAGTTCTGTGGGTTTTGACAAGGGCTTAATGTTATGCATTCTCCATTACAGTGTCACAGAATAGTTTCACTTCCCTAAAAATACCCTGTGCTACACCTGTTTATTCCTACTCTTCTCCTTCCCCCTATCCACAAACCCTTAGAAACCACTGATCTTTTACTATCTGTATAAGTTTTGGCTTTGTTCAGAATGTCATATAGTTGGGATTATGCAGTATGTGTCTTTTTCTGCCTGGCTTTTTTCGCTTAGCAATATGGTTTTAAAGTTCCTCTGTGGTCATACAGAGTGAAGTGAGTCAGAAAGAGAAAGACAAATACCGTATGCTAACACATATATATGGAATCTAAGAAGAAAAAAAAATGTCATGAAGAACCTAGGGGTAAGACGGGAATAAAGACACAGACCTACTAGAGAATGGACTTGAGGATATGGGGAGGGGGAAGGGTAAGCTGTGACAAAGTGAGAGAGTGGCATGGACATATATACACTACCAAACGTAAAATAGATAGCTAGTGGGAAGCAGCCGCATAGCACAGGGAGATCAGCTCAGTGGTTTGTGATCACCTAGAGGGGTGGGATAAAGAAAGTGGGAGGGAGGGAGACATAAGAGGGAAGAGATATGGGAACATGTGTATATGTATAACTTATTCACTTTGTTATAAAGCAGAAACTAACACACCATTGTAAAGCAATTATACTCCAATAAAGATGTTAAAAAAAATAAAGTTCCTCTGTGTCTTCATGGCTTGATACCTCATTTCTTTTTATTGCTGAATAATATTCCATTTTCTGGATGTACCACCACAGTTTGTTTATCCATTCACTTATTGAAGGATATCGTTGTTTCCAAGTTATGGCAATTAGGAATAAAGATGCTGTAAACATTCATGTGCAAGTTTTGGGGGGTATATAAGAATTCTACTCATTTGGGTAAATACCTAGGGGCATGATTTGTGGATTGTGTATGTTAATTGGTGATATATAGGAAAGCAAATTGACTTTTGTGTATTTACCTTGTATTCCGTAACCTTGCTGTAATCACTTAATAGTTTCAGGACTTTGTTGTCAATTCTTTAGGATTTTCTATATAGATAATCATGTTGTCTGCAAATACAGTTTTACTTCTTCTCAGTCTGTATACCCTTTCTTTTTTTTTGCCCCCCTGTCTTATTGCATTAGCTAGGTCTTCCAGTCTAATGTTGAAGTGGTGAGAGGGACATTCTCCCTTGTTCCCAACCTTAATGGGGAAGCCTTTACTTTCTCACCATTAAGTATCATGTTAGCTGTAGGTTTTTGTAGATTTTCTTATCAAGTTGATAAAGCTCACTTCTATTCCTAGTTTGCTGCGAGTTGTGTTTGTTTTGGGGATTTTTTTTTGAGAGTTTTTATCATGAATGAGTGTTGATTTTGCCAAAAGAACACTTTTTTAGACAATAGTGAACAAAAATGGATAAAAGGCCAATATAGCAAACAAATTCAGTATGTAAAGGCTTGAAGAGCAATATGTTAATGTTAAAAAGAAATATAAAGAGATACCCAGCATATGCCATTTCCATTTGAGCAGATTATCTTTAGTTCTTAGATCTGTTAGTTCTTGGACACAGGATTCCTTCCAGGATTCCCTAGGTATAACAGGGAAAATGAAGGAAAACACGCATTTGCAAAAAATAATTTTCAGGGAAGTCAAACAAAAGGAAGATAAAAGACGTCACTGGTTTTTGTTTATTTTCAATTACCTGGTTGGGATGGAAGTCAGATTACAAGAAGTTAACCATAGCTACTACGACTACTAATACTGAAAATGGCAAACATTTTCATCATCATTGTCATCAGAGTAATTCTAGTTGAAATCAGTTCTTTTTTTTTTTTTTAATAAATTTATTTATTTA